AGGGGATACAAACGATCGGTGAGGTATTGTAAAAGCTTCATCGATCGTGATCCCCTACAGATTACAGATAGGGATAAGGCCCTGATTAAGAGGAACCTAAAGGCAGTACGGAAGTTCGAAAAGAACCATCCGGAACCTCCAAAATGTTCACTCGAAAAGGACGTTGCCTCTCTTTTTACAGATCTCGCCAGGAAGGTAAGTCCGTCTGAGGACAAACCAACGACCGAGGCTGGGGTGGAGGGCAACACCACTCCCGAAGATGGTAAGACAGCTTCGGCTGCTGCACCGTCAACGGAATCAAGTGCAGCCCACCCCCCATATCTAACGCAGGGAAGCGGAAGAATAAAAGGAAGGACGCACCTTGCGGAAATGCTGCCCCGGTGGATACAAAGGAGGCCAAACCCTCTTCTCGTGCAACGATGAAGAGAGGACGGTCAACGGAGAAACCACACCCCGACACAAAGAAACCGTCAACGGGCAAACTTCCTCCTCCGCCAACTGCGTTTTCTGCGCCAGTAGCTGGCAAGAAGACAGTGGCAAGGCCGGTAGAAACAGCCTCTGTGGACCCTAAGCCTGCTAAGGCTAATTCTGCCACCACCAACCCATAACCTTCGAGCCAGAATTCGAGGAAGAGGAAATATTCCCAAACCCTATACCCGAACAATCTCCGTGTAGCGGTCATCGAGCTGAGCCGGAAGGCAAAATCAGCGAAAATCGGTGGCTTCTCATTGAGGATCGTCTGAGGGAGCAGGTTTTCCTAGGGGATGACCCTTCTAGGCTACAATTTGGCAGTGCTACCGTCTACAAGGGAGTGAAGGTCATCTGCTGCGAAAATGAGGAGTCGAAGAACTTCCTTGTGACCGCAGTAGCTGGCCTTCAAGGACTTTGGTATGGAAGTGCACTTGCTGCTGTATCCCTGAAGGAAATCCCCTGCAGGAGGATATTGACAGCATGGGTGACGCCGCCCTCTGTGGACCCGTCACGCGTGCTGACAACATTGGGGAAACAAAATCCCAATCTCTGTACGGACAGCTGGCGCTTAGTTGGCTCAAGTACGGAGGGAGGAGACCTGGTCATAAAGGTATCTGTTGATACTGCTGGCCAGGAACACCTTTAGGCGCGTGGGGGGAAATTGCACTTCGGCACAGGATGGATTCGGTTCCGTCTAACGCCGCTGTCGCAATAAATCTGCATCACTGTAAGGCAGCAGGGGCTGAGCTTCTCCTATCCCTCTCCAAGCTTGAAGTTGACATAGCCCTGATCCAGGAACCTTACATCTTTAAGAATAAGGTAACTGGACTAGGGAGTGAGCGGTACATCACCTATGCCACCTCCAACGGGGAAAAGGTTAGAACGTGTATCGTTGCTAGGAAAAACTTAAACTTAATCTTCCTCAATAATTTCAGCGGAGGAGACGCCACGGCGGTCAGACTGGAGACTCGGACGGGCAAAATCATCTTCCTCGTCTCCCTGTACCTACCCTTCGAATACCCCGACCCGCCAGGCCAAGTGGTAGAGGAGCTGGTTACAAAATTGGGTGGAAAAGGCGGTCTGATCGTTGGATGTGATGCCAACGCTCACCACTCTCAATGGGGCAGCAGCAACACTAATGTCCATTTTTGATTTTATTTTAACACATAATCTCAAAATTTGTAACCGGGGAAAGGAGGCGACTTTTTGTAACAAAAATAGAGAGGAGGTCTTAGATCTCACTCTCACTAACATGGATGAATCGTTTATACTGAACTGGAAAGTTTCGACTGAGTGCTGCATAGGAACCCGAGAAAGGCTCGATGGAACCAATTTGCAGAGAACACTGCATGGATGCTAAGGTCCACTGGAGATCTTCCAGTGGCTTCTACAAGGGATGTGGACGACTCTGTCAAGTTGTTAACAAGGATCTTGATCGGTAGCTACGAAAGAGCTTGTCCGCTAACTCTCCCGGGAAAAGGCACCAGCCTGTATGGTGGTCAAAAGACCTAGCCCAGCTCAGGAAGACAAGCAGACGTTTCTACAACAGGGCCAACAAGACCAAACTGAGTACGGACTGGGAAGCTTATAAATCAGCCTTCAATAAGTACAATAGTGAGATCAAGAAGGGCAAAGGACCGTCTTGGGTGTGTTTTACCGAGTCCATAGATGATGTCAACGCGGCCTCACGATTCCGTAGAGTACTTTCAAAGGATCCAAAATCCATTGGAAGCATAAAGCGGGCTGACGGTAGCTGGACTGACTCAGGTCTAGAGACTCTCAATCTACTAGCCAATACACACTTTCCGAACTGCTCTGATGCGGTATATGACCGATTGGTAGATCGGCCTAGTCAGCATCGTGGGACGGAAGACGTAAGTCTGGCTGATAGAATTGTAAACGCCCCCAAGATCTTGTGGGCCATAAACTCATGCACACCTTTCAAGTCACCGTGTCCAGATGGCATGTTCCCCGCTATGCTACAGCATGCATCGACAGTGATAATACCATTCCTGGAAGTGCTTTTTTAAGGCTTGTTTGCTTGTACGCTGACAACACCGTGGATGCAAACCCACTAACTCTTTTATATCCTATCTATTCTACTCTAACCTCCTAACTTTTCTTTCACATTCATTTCTTCTAAATTAGGATGATCACAATGAGCCAATAGGTCTCCGAGTGGAGTGGTTGTTTTTACACAACCACACATCCTTTAACCTAACCTAACCTTATCCCTTTTAATTTATATTTTTTTCTTTATAGGAATCGCGGAATTTAATTATACGGCTTCGTCTGTCTGTCCGGAGTTTAAAGTAGTAATTGTCGTTTGGGAAGATACCAAGCCATGCTGGTGCAGCAGTGGTGTAAGATCTGCACCTCCCTCGATGGATTGGATGGGGGATGTTGTGGCTCAAATGCTCCGATCGTTTGGATCTTTATGTATAAGATTTATTTTATTGTTTTTAGATATTTATTCAATTGTTTCGTTTTTAAACTTTTTTGTTTAAGCTTTGTTGTTTTCAAACTTTGTTTAATTTTAGGATAAGTTCAATTTTTCTTTTATTTTTTTAAATTTTTATAAAAATGTTTTATTTTTGTTATAAGTTTTCAACTTCTGCCTTTGGTCTTTAAATTTCAATTTTGTTTAAAAAAGTTTGTATTTTGTGTTGTTTGTTTATGTGTTTCAAACAAATAAAAAAATTGAATTCACTTTTCAACATGTTGTACATCATAAAAACTTTTATTCATCTTTCCTCTGCTGGTTACGGGGAGCCACACATCCAATCTTCTTCGCAGGTAAAATAAGAAAAAAAAAGATTTTTCTGACAATTTTGGCCACGAAATTCTGGTTGCCATATTCTTGATTTAATTATTCCTTTTTATTTTCCCCTTTGGTGACACTTAGGGGACTGGAACACACAGCTGTTTCCTATATAAAGTTGGCAACACTCTTCTTCTTCTTATTACTGTTATCATTTATTTTAATGGTTAAACATTTAAGAGGCGCACACCACATGTCACAGGCTATAGTATCTATTACGAACTTCAAATACCGAATTTGAGACATTTCCGGTGAATAATGTCGGTAAAATCATTAAAATACCCAATATGGGGAGATACCGTTATATGGGAGGTATACGAAGACATGTACATATACTTTTCTGTATAAGGCTGTGCTATCCATTACGAACTTTAAATGCAAACATTTTTGTTGTTGTTGTATCTCAGGCTTTTTTCAGCTTCAAAAATACATCTTTGCTGTGACCAGGCTCCAGGCAGAAACAACAGCGTACAAGTTCTGTTTCACTTTTTGCATTTATCTGCGAGCAGCGCTAACTCAGCAGATCTTCAAACGTTTATATATATTTTATATATATATAGACTGTAAATATCTTAACTGCGCCAAAAAATTAAATAACGCCTGCCCGATCCTCTACTAAGCCTGGATAAACAAAAGTATTTTTTTGATAATTAAGAACTGTGCAAATCAATATCTTGAACAAGTAAAAAGCAGTAAGTTCGGCCGGGCCGAACTTTGAATACCCTTTACCATTTAGAACGAATTTGAAATTTTTCGAAAAAGATAACATTCGGTAAAAATTCATTTTAAAAATTCCGAACATAGCCGTTATATTAGGGCCTGTACGACGTGGGCGATACATAGGCATTTTTTGTCACAAGCTATTACCATATTCAAATTTGAAACTTGAAATGAACGGCGAATAATGTAGCCAAAATCATCGAAATACCGTACATAGGGAGGTACCTTTCTATAGGAGCAATTAAAAGACCTGGACCTGTATAGGCAATTTTCTGTACAGGCTGCACCTTTCATTACGAACTTCAAATACGACATCTCAAACAATTTCGGTGAGTATTGTACCTAATATCGTCAAAATTCCGAATATAAGGTGGTACTGATATATGCGACCTATACGAAGACCGGGACTTGCACAGACATTTCTTTGTCTCAGGCTGTTGTAGTATCCATTTCGAACTTCAAACACCAAATCTGAAACAATTCCGGAAAAAATTGTCCCTAAAATCATGAAAGTACCAAATATAGGGAGGTACCGTTATATGGGGGCTATACGAAGGCGTGGACCAGCATGGCCATTTACAAACTTAATATGCCTACTGGAAAATAAACATGCGTGCAAAATGTTTGCCTTCTATTTCAATTCGTGCGAATTATAGAGTGATTACAACAGACAGACAGACGGACATGGCTAAATCATCTTACAATTTTACGCTGATCAATAACATATATACTTTGTTGGGTCTAAGGTCATTATTTCGATAAGTTACAAACGGAATGAAAAAATGAGTATATCCTCCATAGTATGGTGGAGGGTATAAAAAGAAAATTATTTAAGATAAATTGAGAAATTTATTCTAATCGGGCGCACATTTTCGGTGTGATTGCCTAAAAATTAAATTTGTTCTCTATTCGTTCCAAATTTAATTTTGAATTTCACTTAAAGTTACTTTTTTTTTCACCGATAACTAATCTTTTCAGATTGGTGACTGCCTAGATTTGGATTGAACGAAAGGTAATATTGGAACACATGACATTTTCTTTTTCTGTATGGATACCCTCAACTAGGTCCACATTTGGCCAGTTTGTTGAATACGACATCATTTCAAATGCATTTAGATGTGTTTCATCGTGTCTTCCCGATTCCAGACTCTAACGTCATAAATCGATGACTAACAGCTCTGCGACCTTGTGTACAACACTCTTCTGCCTTGTGCCATAGTTGCGTATAGGAATATAAAGGAAGAGTGCACAAATGGTCAAGGACAGTCACAACGTGACTGCTCAGGAATCGAAGACATATTGTTAGAGTCTGTAAATCTGGTATGCTTCCGTTCGTAGTCCAACGAATTCTTTCTGACCACTGCTGTTGGTGTCTAGGGGAGTTTCCTCCTATGGTTACAAGAAAAAGTTTTCCATGGTCTCAACGATCAAAAAAGATAACAAGAGAAGTTACTAGTTGGATATTTAATTCACAGAAGGGAAGTATATATAGAAATGCTGAAAATTTTATAAAAAGTATTAATAAGTTTTTTTTTTTAACTTTCCAGGCATTCATTACGTTCAGGCAATAGAATTTGCCTGTCCTGCAAAAACAGGAAATTACACATGATGGTAAGTTCGAGAAATTCTGTTCTCCTTTTTTCTCCAGCAGGTGTACCATCGACTAGACTTTCAGCTTTTGTCAGAATGTCGGATACGATGGTTTGCAAATGCACTGAGGTGTATTTGTTCTTTTTCTCTTCTGGCTTCCAGACTCTAGTTTCGTAAGTCGGGTAAAGTACGGATCTGAGACCTCGTGTACAACAGTTCCCTGGCCCGTGCCAAAGAGCGAACGACTACTGCTTCACCGCGAAAGGGGAATTGCACTAATGGTCAAAGACGATAACCTTGTGACTCCTCCGGATGCGCAGACATCAACAAGAGTCGGCAAACCCAGAGTGCTTTAATTCGTACTCTGACTTCGCAATCCTGACATCTGCTGTTGGAGTCTAGATGATTGGACGTCTGTTCGAATGAAAAAACAGGGTTCCGAACAACACCATCATCAAATCTTCTAGCCGAGACTTATAGAGGACCTACTGTCAGAGCTTCTAAACTCAACGTAAGATGTAGTTTAAATTAATTGCATAGTTTTTGTAATTTTGCCCTGGAAAATTGAGAAAAATTATAAGAACTCTAATTTTATAAACAAATATTATTATAATTATATTATATTATTATAACCAAAAATTAGCTAAATAACTTTGTAAGTATGGCTTGAGATTGATATTTCACATCTAATTTCATTTATATATATTTTTTCCTTTTTAAATCCATCTTCTAATTATTTTTATTTCCTTTGCTTATATAAGTACCTTATTATAAGTACCCCTTATTTTTTCTTATCTTCTACTTCGTAAAGACATTTTCCAACTGGCTTAACAATGCCACACTTGAAAAAATAAAGGGTACTTCCGACGGAACTATGGACAGAAGATCGCAGAGAACATTCTATTTCTGATAAATTGTGATCCCATTCTCGGTGATCTTCTCTCAGATATGCTCAAATCGCTGATAAAATGGATTGATTTACCCTCTCCGAGGCATTTGCTTGCGGTGAGTGAAAAGCAGTCTTGATGTGGTTTATACAAAAAGTTTAATTATGTGTGAAAATTATTTGCCAATAAATTGTTTCCCATTATCAGATACAATTACTTCTGGGGTGGTCTACCCCAATGAAGATAAAACTGTTTCCCATTTTAGTTCTGGGATACGGACCTAAGAAGTCTACATAAATTCGTTTAAAAAGCCTTTCTGTAATAGCTTCGGTTCCCATAGATGGACGAAGAGTCGAATTGGCTGGTTTCTTCTCTTTGCAAACATCACAAATTTATATAAAATTTCAAACTTGATTACATTTACTTTAAAAGCTAAGGAATCAAGATCGATTAAGGCCTTGACATCCAGAGAAATCTCCTCCATATTATACCTTGACAAAATATCAGATACTATGTTCTGGGTTCCTATGATCTATCTCAAAAGAATATGCCTGGAACTGTAGGCTCCATCTAGCTAACCTTCCGCTCAGATCTCGATGTGACATGAGCCATTTTAAACTGCTATCGTCAGTTATAACTGTGAAAGGCATCAACTATATATATGGCATGAATTTTTAAATGGCCATCATCACAGCCAAACACTCCCTCTCAATCACCGAGTAATTTTTCTGAGCAGAAGTCAGCTTTTGTGAAAAATAAGTACTGGGATGTTCTCCACCCCCATCGTCTCTTTGAAATAATACTGCTCCTATTCCCAAGTCTGAGGCATCGCTTTGCATATATAAATGTCTGGTAAAGTCTAGGTGTGTCAGAATTACTTACAAGGGCTTGTTTCAATCTGTCAAATGCAACCTTCACCTCCTCTGTGAACGTGAATCGTTTTCCTTTTTTGAATGTCTCGAAGATGGGAGCCGAATGACTCCATGCAATCTCGCTCTCTTCAATCACACCTAGGTCTAGCATCCTATCCAATTCCGCATAAATAAGCCTCTGCACAGCCGGGGAAACGGGTATCGATTGAATGGATCTCAGCTTTAGTCTTTCCCAAGCCATACTTGTTAATGCAAGAAAATTTGTCCTTCACTATTGGCAAACGAACTCGTTGCTCCTCGGACAAAGAATGGCTGTTAACATCACCGATCTCAAACTCACCACAGAGACTCACTTCCTGAAGGGACAAACAGTCCACCTGAGCAAACATTTGGAGAAGTTTCATGAAATCTACACCCAGAAACAACTCACGGCTCAGAAAAATAACAAGATGTCCGTAGCCGCAGCACATCATTATGTGGTTCCGCTGCTGGCTTGCGAAAATAATTGATTCGTCGCATCATTGTTCCCCAACAACGAACGCTTGGTCGCTTCAGCAATTCTAGGTGTCAGAACTCTAAATCTTTCTTCTTCCTGTTGACGATATTGCAATTGGGACAGGGCGATGGCAGAATTAATAATATCCCTAACCCCTGCGCTGATTGCTGGGTCTGCTGGCGGAACAATCGGTCTATTCGGTAGTTGCTGCAACCCGGTCAAGACACTATAGTTTGGTGATGCAACGCTTCCATGTGACCAAAAAGACGTGTTGAACGAGTTAGCGACCTCTTCGATGTTTAGAGAACTGGTGGTGGTGCCGATGAACTGGACATTGATGTTGTGACTGAAATACCTTGAGCTGGGACGACACCATGTGCTAAATGTGCAATATGAGAAGCAATGGGACCAATATGCGCGGCAGTTGTAAACCGTTGTGCGTTAGAAGGAACGCTGTGAACCGCGGTAACAACGGCTGTAGCTTCGGCAGTGGATACCACCTCATTTTGCCCTAGAATCGGTCTACCCGCAAAACCTGCACTTGCACTCCGAAAAAGCGAAAAAAAAATATCAAAATGAAATCTGCCATACGATTTTGCTCGAAAGTAAACCTAAAAGTAAATAAAAACAATAATAATTAATAAACTAAAAAAATCAATTCAATGTAATTCAGTTCTTTCAAATTTAAATGAAACCTTTCACTTTTACAGGTTATTCTGTACGGCATACAAATTCCACTCTTCAGCAGAATAATTTTGATGAAAAACAAATTGGAAAATTCAAATTATGTTAGGTGGTGGGATCTCTGGTCAAAACAGTGGTAAGTCAAGATCAAATAAACTGTTTCTGTCCTACAACTTGTACATTTCGTAAGTTGTAATAAGGTTAGCCCTCTTAATATCATATCTTAAATAATCCAAATAAAATGTTTCTGTTTTTCAATTCAGGCACTACGACTACTTCAGCTACATTTAACTGGATCTTCCGGAACTCTTGGGAAATTGAGGTGAGCATTGGAAAAATTTAACGTAAGGTAAGTTTAAATTAAGTTAGAAGTAAGGGTTCCATTGTAAATGTTTTAATATTTAATTTTGAGATTTTCGCTTTATTTTAAAATTCATCTTAAATTAAGTAAACAACAAAATAACTTCTATCCTCATATACATGTATGCAAAAAATGGAACTCTTGGGAAATTGAGGTGAGCATTGGAAAAATTTAACGTAAGGTAAGTTTAAATTAAGTTAGAAGTAAGGGTTCCATTGTAAATGTTTTAATGTTTAATTTTGAGATTTTCGCTTTATTTTAAAATTCATCTTAAATTAAGTAAACAACAAAATAACTTCTATCCTCATATACATGTATGCAAAAAATGGATTTATATATATATATATATATATATATATATATATATATATATATATATATATATATATATATGCTTCAGACTTCGTGAATTATTTGATTTATTGCTTCAAATCCTTTGCGTGAAAAATGCCAATGGGATGGCCTTTATGATCCTCTACTTCGTAAAAGCATTTCCCAACTGGCTTAACAATGCGACACTTAAAAAAATATGGGGTACTTTCGACGGAACTATGGACAGAAGATCGCAGAAAACATTCTATTTCTGATAAATTGTGATCCCATTCTCGGTGATCTTCTCTCAGATATGCTCAAATCGCTGATAAAATGGATTGAGTGAAAAGCAGTCTTGCCAATAAATTGTTTCCCATTATCAGATACAATTACTTCTGGGGTGGTCTACCCCAAGGAAGATAAAACTGTTTCCCATTTTATACCCTCCACCATACTATGGAGGGTATATTAACTTTGTCATTCCGTTTGTAACTCCTCGAATTACTCATATCAGACCCAATAAAGTATATATATTCTTGATCAGCGTAAAATTCTAAGTCGATTTAGCGATGTCCGTCTGTCTGTCTGTTGTAATAACGCTATCTTTCTAATGAATTGAGATAGATGGCTAAAATTTTGCACATATGTTTATTTTTCAGCAGGCATTTTAAGTTCGTAAATGGGCCATGTAGGTCCACGTTTTCATATAGCCCCCATATAACGGTGACTCCCTATATTCGGTATTTTGATGATTTTAGCGACATTATTCACGGGAATTGTTTCAAATTTGGCATTTGAAGTTCAAAATGGATACTACACCATAAGACGGAAAATTGTCTGTGCAGGTCCACGTCTTCGTATAGCCCCCATATAACGGTACCTCCCGATATTCGGTATTTTGATTATTTTAGCGACATTATTCACGGGAATTGTTTCAAATTTGGTATTTGAAGTTCAAAATGGATACTACACCCTAAGACAGAAAATTTTCTGTGCAGGTCCACGTCTTCATATAGCCCCCATATAACAGTACCTCCCTATATTCGGTATTTTGATGATTTTAGCAACATTATTCACCGGAATTGTTTCAAAATTTGTATTTGAAGTTCGTTATGGGAACTACAGTCTGTGACAGAAAATTGTCTGTGCGGGTCCAGGTCTTCGTATAGGCCCCATATATCAGTACCTCCCTATATTCGGTATTTTGACGATTTTAGGTACAATACCCACCGAAATTGTTTGAGATATGGTATTTGAAGTTCGTAATGGATGCTACAGCCTGTTACAAAAAATTGTCTATGCTGGTCCAGGTCTTCGCACAGCTCCGATATAACGGCACCTCCTTATATACGATATTTTGATGATTTTAGCCACATTATTCACTGTTTATATCAAGTTTCGAATTTGAATATGGTAATGGCTTATGACAAACAATGCCTATGTATGTCCACGTCGTATAGACCCCAATATAACGGCTATATTCGGTATTTTTAAAATTTTAAAAGAATTTTTTAAGGATTTTATTTTTTAACAATTTCCAAATTCGTTGCAAATGGTGGAGGGTATTAAAAGTTCGGCCCGGCCGAACTTACTGCTTTTTAACTTGTTAGTTCTGGGATACGGACCTAAGAAGTCTACATAAATTCTTTGAAAAGGCCTTTCTGTAATAGCTTCGGTTCCCATAGATGGACGAAGAGTCGAATTGGCTGGTTTCTTCTCTTTGCAAACATCACAATTTTATATAAAATTTCAAACTTGATTACTCATATTTTTGCCAGAAAAAGTGCTCTTTCACCCTACGAAGAGTCTTGTGGAAACCTCCATGAGAGACTTTTTGGTGGACAGTGTGCTTTTTCAATGATTTGACCCATCAAATCTCGCTGGGTACCCATAGCTTCCAGGCAAAATCTTCATTAAGGGGAATTCCATCGTAGGACTGAGTTCGTTTATATACCAAATCATCGACCACTTTTAGATCGGGGTGTTGTGAAGAATTATTTTCGATGGTTTCTATCAAGCCTAAGTAATCATTTGGTTTAAAAGCTAAGGAATAAAAATCGATTAAGGCCTTGACATCCAGAGAAATCTCCTCCATATTATACCTTGACAAAATATCAGATACTATGTTCTGGGTTCCTATGATCTATCTCAAAAGAATATGCCTGGAACTGTAGGCTCCATCTAGCTAACCTTCCGCTCAGATCTCGATGTGACATGAGCCATTTTAAACTGCTATGGTCAGTTATAACTGTGAAAGGCATCAACTATATATATGGCACGAATTTTTAAATGGCCATCATCACAGCCAAACACTCCCTCTCAATCACCGAGTAATTTTTCTGAGCAGAAGTCAGCTTTTGTGAAAAATAAGTAATGGGATGTTCTCCACCCCCAGCGTCTCTTTGAAATAATACTGCTCCTATTCCCAAGTCTGAGGCATCGCTTTGCACATAGAAATGTCTGGTAAAGTCTGGGTGTGTCAGAACTACTTACAAGGGCTTGTTTCAATCTGTCAAATGCAACCTTCACCTCCTCTGTGAACGTGAATCGTTTTCCTTTTTTGAATGTCTCGAAGATAGGAGCCGCATGACTCCATGGACTCTCGCTCTCTTCAATCACACCTAGGTCTAGCATCCTATCCAATTCCGCATACATAAGCTTCTGCACAGCCGGGGAAACGGGATAATGCCTATCTTTCACCGGGGTTGCATCGCGAGTATCGATTGAATGGATCTCAGCTTTAGTCTTTCCCAAGCCATACTTGTTAATGCAAGAAAATTTGTCCTTCACTATTGGCAAACGAACTCGTTGCTCCTCGGACAAAGAATGGCTGTTAACATCACCGATCTCAAACTCACCACAGAGACTCACTTCCTGAAGGGACAAACAGTCCACCTGAGCAAACATTTGGAAAAGTTTCATGAAATCTACACCCAGAAACAACTCACGGCTCAGAAAAATAAGAAGATGTCCGTAGCCGCAACACATCATTATATGGTTCCGCTGCTGGCTTGCAAAAATAATTGATTAGTCGCATCATTGTTCCCCAACAACGAACGCTTGGTCGCTTCAGCAATTCTAGGTGTCAGAACTCTAAATCTTTCTTCTTCCTGTTGACGATATTGAAATTGGAACAGGGCGATGGCAGAATTAATAATATCCCTAACCCCTGCGCTGATTGCTGGGTCTGCTGGCGGAACAATCGGTATATTCGGTAGTTGCTGCAACCCGGTCAAGACACTATAGTTTGGTGATGCAACGCTTCCATGTGACCAAAAAGACGTGTTGAACGAGTTAGCGGCCTCTTCGATGTTTAAGGGAACTGGTGGTGGTGCCGATGAACTGGACATTGATGTTGTGACTGAAATACCTTGAGCTGGGACGACACCATGTGCTAAATGTGCAATATGAGAAGCAATGGGACCAATATGCGCGGCAGTTGTAAACCGTTGTGCGTTAGAAGGAACGCTGTGAACCGCGGTAACAACGGCTGTAGCTTCGGCAGTGGATACCACCTCATTTTGCGCTAGAATCGGTCTACCTGCAAAACCTGCACTTGAAATAATAAAATAAACACTCCGAAAAAGCGAAAAAAATATCAAAATGAAATCTGCCATACGATTTTGCTCGAAAGTAAACCTAAAAGTAAATAAAAACAATAATAATTAATAAACTAAAAAAATCAATTCAATGTAATTCAGTTCTTTCAAATTTAAATGAAACCTTTCACTTTTACAGGTTATTCTGTACGGCATACAAATTCCACTCTCCAGCAGAATAATTTTGATGAAAAACGAATTGGAAAATTCAAGTTATGTTAGGTGGTGGGATCTCTGGTCAAAACAGTGGTAAGTCAAGATCAAATAAACTGTTTCTGTATGAATTTTAAAATGTTTCACTTTTGTACAGGGATTTTGTGAGTTACACTGGCAAAACTTTGGAATTTAAATGGAGTAAAAATGAACTGAGAAATTGAAATGGAATACGGAAAAGGCGGCTTACTCAGTCATACCTCAAAAGGTTCCAGGACTGATGGAAACTCTAGGTAAGTCCGAGATCAGCTACCAAATTCCGGGTACTGAAATTAAATATAGACGGACAGAATATAAAATCTAAAAAAAAAAACAAATTCGAGACCTACAGTTCATATTTGCATAGCAGTGCGTCACCTGCCCTCTTATAGGCTGCTTAGATGGGTCTCCACAAATGAGAACTGATAAACCAGACGAATTTATTCAACATTATAACTTTAAGATATCTGAAATTTTAACTTTACTGAAATATCAAATTTCATTGTAAATGCTACTGCAATTAGAAGTATTAATTCAACTAGAACGACTAACCCACTAGAAAAAAAAATAAAAATCAAATTTTTCAGAAATGTAAGTGATGTTTACCAGAGTCTTTGATGAAGCAACGTTTCAGGGACTCTTAATTAAACCTAGACGGGACTCACTGAAGATTCACTGTAAGCGCATTTTTACACTACGACTAACAATTATTAAAATCTAACGACATGTCTCAGGCCCCACGTTCTGGGCGCCATTTTGTAACAAGCGTGTTCCAAAATAACGAAAATAGCTATGTTCGCTCTTCAGTGGCGCTGCCGGTATGCTGGCGTATAGCGCGGCTATGGCTCGTCGGATGAGGGGTTGGTTCTTGCCACTTTTCAGACGTTCTCGGTTGAACAAAAAAAATCATACCGGACTTGCAAAGAAAAATCAAATTAAATTGGGTAAAAGGAACCTGAAACATGTCAATAAAAAGTACGAAAGAAAACGTTCACCTAAACTACAACCAAATCCTAATTTTGCTTTAACTATCACCACAGAAATAGTACTCCCGGCGACTGAGCAACCAGGAAATAGCCCTCCCTCCGAGAACACCTCTCGCCATGACGTGTATTTATTTCTGATGTCCCAGAATTGGCCCTTAACTTACCACATTTTAAACCATTTCCACCACTTTTTAATAGGGCCTTAAGTCGAAGACGTATTCATCTTTTGTATAAAAATTTTGTACATTTTATTTAACCTATTTTTACGGTTCAAAGATAGGAGCAATTCACAACAGCTCTTATATGTTATTTAGTATCCATTAAATTCAAATTGAAAAAAAATTATGACAAAAAAATCAAAGATAAAAATGTTAGCGCCAAAATTAATCCAAAATATAATATTTGTTCCTTTCTCTTTTATACCCTCCACCATACTATGGAGGGTATATTAACTTTGTCATTCCGTTTGTAACTCCTCGAAATACTCATGTCAGACCCAACAAAGTATATATATTCTTGATCAGCGTAATCGATTTAGCGATGTCCGTCTGTCTGTCTGTCCGTCTGTCTGTCTGTCTGTTGTAATCACGCTATCTTTCGAATAAATTGAGATAGATGGCTAAAATTTTGCACACATGTTTATTTTTCCAGTAGGCAGGTTAAGTTCGTAAATGGGCCATGTAGGTCCACGTTTTCATATAGCTCCCATATAACGGTACCTCCGGATTTTCGGTATTTTGATGATTTTAGCGACGTTATTCACCGGAATTGATTCAAATTTGGTATTTTAAGTTCCAAATGGATACTACACCCTAAGATAGAAAATTATCTGTGCAAGTCTATGTCTTCGTATAGCCCCCATATAACGGTACCTCCCGATATTCGGTATTTTGATGATTTTAGCGACATTATTCACGGGAATTGTTTCAAATCTGGTATTTGAAGTTCCAAATGGATACTACACCCTAGGACAGAAAATTGTCTTTGCAGGTCCACGTCTTCGTATAGCCCCAATATAACGGTACCTCCCTATATTCGGTATTTTGATGATTTTAGCGAAGTTATTCACCGGAATTGTTTCAAATTTAGTATTTGAAGTTCCAAATGGATACTACACCCTAAGATAGAAAATTGTCTGTGCAAGTCTATGACTTCGTATAGCCCCCATATAACGGTACCTCCCGATATTCGGTATTTCGATGATTTTAGCGACATTATTCACGGGAATTGTTTCAAATCTGGTATTTGAAGTTCCAAATGGATACTACACCCTAAGACAGAAAATTGTCTTTGCAGGTCCACGTCCTCGTATAGCCCCAATATAACAGTACCTCCCTATATTCGGTATTTTGATGATTTTAGCGACATTATTCACTGGAATTGTTTCAAACTTGGTATTTTAAGTTCCAAATGGATTCTACACCCTAAGACTGAAAATTGTCTGTGCAGGTCCACGTCTTCGTATTGCCCCCATATAACGGCACCTCGCTATGTTCGGTATTTTGATGATTTTAGCGACATTATTAACCGGAATTGTTTAAAATTTGATATTTGAAGTTCGTTATGGGAACTACAGTCTGTGACAGAAAATTGTCGGTGCGGGTCCAGTTTCGAATTTGAATATGGTAATGGCTTATGACAAACAATGCATATGTATGTCCACGTCGTATAGACCCCAACATAACGGCTATATTCGGTATTTTTAAAATTTTAACAGAATTTTTAAGGATTTTATTTTTTGAAAATTTCCAAATTCGTTGTAAATGGTGGAGGGTATTAAAAGTTCGGCCCGGCCGAACTTACTGCTTTTTAACTTGTTTCTCTTTCAGGTTGCGTAGGTGAACGAAAAAAAATAGGGAACGATAAAGGCAGCTAATGTTTGATGTTCTTCCCAATAATAAGTACGTAAGTATGGTCAAGGTTTATATGTTTTAATTATATTCCACGTTAAATTCAGTTTAATTATGTTTCTTTTTCTTCCAATTTCAGGAAAGGACAAACAACGAATTAATGTCGATACCACTGAAAATCGACGAGCAAAACGAACTAAAAGCCTGGTTACCTAACCTTGAAAAGAGCTCTGTTCAACGTCTTAAACCTGCACATCAACCAAAGAGGTGAGTACAATTTAATTTCATTTGTTTACCACTTTTAATTTATATTTTTTTCTTCACAGGAAAATCGCGGAATTAAATTATACTGCTTCGTCGTCCGTCTGTCTGTCCGGAGTTTAAAGTAGTAATTGTCGTTTGGGAAGATACAAAGCTATGCTGGTGAAACAATGGCATAAAATCTGCGCCTCGCTCGATGGATTGGATGGGCGATGGTGTGGCTCTTTATGTATAAGATTTATGTATACAATTTATTTATGGGATCTTTATGTATAAGATTTATTTTCTTGTTTTTAGATATTTATTTAATTGTTTCGTTTTTAAACTTTGCTCAGTTGTTTTCAAACTTTGTTTAATTTTAAGATAAGTTCTATTTTTTTTATTTTTCAAATTTTTATGAAAACTTTTTATTTTTGTTATAAATTTTTTGCCTTTTGTCTTTAAATTTTGTTTTATGGCTTTCAATTTTGTTTAAAAAAAAATTGTATTTTGTGTTGTTTGTTTATGTGTTTCAAACAAAAAAAATTTAATTAACTTTTCAACAAGTTGTACATCATAAAAACTTTTGTTCGTCTTTCCTCTGCTGGTTACGGGGAGCCACACATCCAATCTTCTTTGCAGGTAAAATAAAAAAACAAAGATTTTTCTGACAATTTTGGCCACGAAATTCTGGTTGCCATTTTCTTGATTTAATTTTTCCTTTTTATTTTCCCCTTTGTTGGCACTTAGGCGACTGTAACACCCAGCTGTTTCTTAAAAACAGTTGGCAACACTCTTCTTCTTCTTATTACTGTTGTCATTTATTTTAATGGCTAAAAATTTAAGAGGCGCACACCACATGTCACAGGCTATAGTATCTATTACGAACTTCAAATACCGAATTTGAGATATTTCCGGTGAATAATGTCGGTTAAATCATTAAAATACCCAATATCGGGAGATACCGTTATATAGAAGCTATACTTTGCATTTTTCTGCTTGTGCGTATTGAGCAGCGCTAACTCAGCTTCTCGGCAAAAATGTTGAGCTGAATCTCTTCAGACACAGGGACAGACAGCTGCGCAAAGAGTAATAGTTATTTACACACAAATGTGTATGGGTGCCCATTATTTTGTTGCTTTGAAAATATACGCCGCAGTTATAAATTCTTCAATAACAGCGGCGCCTTGTAGTCCCTTGAAGCGAGCAGTGCAATTTGAAAATGACCCAGCACGGCTATTGCGTTGCATTCCTTGGATGTGTTGCTTAAATTGTGTTTTCGTAAACTGTGCCAAACTTCCTTCTACAAACAAATATTCACCCGATCCTTTATCAAAATGTAAGAGGTTTAAATACTAAGCCCAGATATGTGTACCTTAAAAGTTCCTTTTCTAAATATGATATAATTGCTTTCACAGTGCGCAAGTGGTTGAGCGAGTGAAATATTTATACAATAAGATGTCAGATCGTCTTCAAAAATATAGAAAAGCATGGGATTCGGATATTTTATTAAAGAAATGGTAAAACTAACAAAAGATCAAACAAAGGCTGCTTGCAGTTACTACAATTTGAATTTGATTATATTGAGTATATATAGACGTGGTTCTAAATAAGCACTATTGCCTTGGATACAGTTTTGAAAAATCTTGTAGTGACAACAATAAATCTTAAGACTTTTACGTAATATAAAGAGAAGAATTTTTAAAAAATCTAACACTGCCGTAAATTATGCAAAATATTCCATGCCAAAAATGGATAAAATTCGGATAACTCCAAATGTTATTCCTACCGTTTAGTCCGAATGCGGCAGAACTTATTATCCAATCCTAAGAATTCCTTCAAATGTGTAAACTCCTACGGGAGAGCATTTCCATTCTGGGAATCCTGATCGAATTTGCGTGGGGATATGACTCTACAAAGCTTTTCCAATCAGCCTCAGCAGCTGACAAAAGTAAACCGTCCCAACCAACATTGCATAACCTTCTCCATAATAAATTTTGCTGTCACGATCACAGAGGCCAACCATCCGACGGGGTCAAACAGTTTCGCACTTTCACTGCAAAGTATAAACAATCTAACCGCGCAATTGCCCTATGCATAAAGATTTGGAGCTGCTAGCTTCTACAAAATAACACTTGAGCGCCAACCAAATGGTATGGGGATAACGGTCCAAAATAGCTCTGTTATTGGCGGTCTATTTTCTAAGCTCGAATTTTAAGACGAGAGTGCCCTTACCAACTGGTCCCTAGCTGTGCAGTCTCAATATGGTATAACACAAAATTCTCTGAACAGGTGAATGCTTGGGATCCATGCGGATGTGCCTATATATTTGGATAATATCAGAGTTGAAAACGAATTTGAATACAAATTAACAGAGGATTAAGATAACCAAATCTTGGTGTAATGTTGAATCGACGTTCAACATGTCGTCAATACTCTGCACATTCGAAGTTTTGTTGGAGGCATTCAATACTACTCTGAGTTTAGTAGTTGTTTTTCCTACGATAATCACAGGGTGATGCGGTAAATAACAAGAAGTGAAGTGTTGGCAGATACTGGCCTCATGTGATAAAGTTCTAAGTATTCTAATAATACTTGATTGGTTTCTTCATCAATGAATTTTTCTTGCGATGAAATCGTTTTCCGAAGTACCCTAAGCGCCAGCCCCAGCTTTTGTTGGTAACTTAAAGATAATTTTCACAAAAACGGTCCGATTGGGATCAAATCTTGCTTTAAATGACCAAAAAAAGTATCGAAAACGTTAAAAACAATTAAAAAACTGCACAATAGGTCCAAATAATTTGAAAACTTTCGCGAAGTAGTTGCCTTGAAACCTCGTACTATAGTGAAAATTCAAAATTTGAACTATAAATTCCAAAATTATAATATCCGATGAGATATAAAGCAACCGATACTACTTGATAAAATTTTCTAAAAAAAAGTGTATTTTAACATATTTATATATAAATATATAAATAAAATATAAATATTTACCAAAAAAAAAATTCTGAACAAAATCCCTAAAATCAATTAAAAACTTAAAATCCGCACGAAAATATCAATTTTAACACTATTTAATAAAAAGTCATATTTACCGATAGTAGGGTGCACGCGCTATTCATTTTTTCCAAAAAAGTCGTTTTCTTACACACTATTATCATTAATAATAATCAAAATTTTGACATATATTATATTACAGTCGTTTTATCACGGTTCACCAGTAATGCAACGACAAAACGAAGAAATATATAACGTCTCCACAAAACGTAGATGACCGACTAAGCAATGATCAATAGTCGCGTGAACATTACTGCTTTTGTGCGTATGTATGGATCGTTAGTGAATTATCAAACAAACCAATGCAAATACTGCGTGTATTTTTTGAAGGTGATGTTTAATGATATTTTAAGTAGGAAAAATTTACGAAGTGGCCATTGTTTGCGCCAACGCGGGGAAAGGGGAAATGCAACGTAAACCAATATAAATTGAAATAAATAAAAAGGCAACAGCGTGGCTGGTTTGACATATAATAGCCAGAGTCATGCTTAATAATAGATAGTAACAAGTGAAAAGCAGCCGGGCCGAACTTTTTATGCTACCAACATTTGAAAGAAACTTCAAATTTTTCAAAAGAATTCCATCGAAAAATACCGCTATGGTGAATTTCCGATATCGTGAAAACAATTCTCGTCTAAAGAACAAATTTTCACAAAGAACTTCTTGTGTAAACTTTCAGACAATTCGATTGAAAATGTGGCTAAATTCATCAAAAAACCGAATATCGGGGGTAACGTTATATTTGGCTATACAAAAACGTGGACATTTACATACAATGTTTCGCCCCCGAACCCATTATAAATCCGCGAAAAATGGGACAAAAATCATCAACTCCAAATATTATTCCTAAAATTTAGAACGAATGCGGCAGAACTTATTATCCAATCCTAAGAATTCATTCAAATTTGTAAACTCCAAAAGAAGAGTTCAGAAATGAAAGTCGGTAGAAAAGAGTCTTCATACAATCCTGAAATTACAATCCTTTCGAATTTGGATGCAATGTTTACAACGGATTTGTAATTAGGCAACAAACAGACTCTATTGCAGACTTCAGTAAAGCCTTTGATACCGTAGAGCATTTCCATTCTGGGAATCCTGATCGAATAGCTTTCCCAATCAGCCTCAGCAGCTGACAAAAATAAACCGTCCCAACCAACATTGTATAACTTTCTGCATAATAATTTTTGATGTCACGATCACAGAGGCCAACCATCTGACGTGGTCAAACAATTTCGCAACAGCACTTCCCTCCTAGTGTAGCAATGTTTATTTACATTAAGATTCACTACAAAGTATAAAAAATCTAACCGCGCAATTCCCCTATGCACAAGATTTGGAGATGCTAGCTTCTACAAAATAACACTTGGGCGTCAACCAAATGGTATGGGGATAACGGTCCAATATACCTCTGTTATTGGTGGTCCATTTTCTAAGTTCGAACTTTGAGACGAGAGTGCCCTTATCAACTGGTCCCTAGTTGTGCAGTCTCAATGTGTTAAAATACAAAATTCTCTGAACAGGTGAATGCTTGGGATCTATGCGGATGTGCCTATATATTTGGATAATATCAGAGTTGAAAACTAATTTGAATACAAGCCAACGGAGGATTAAGAGAACCAAATCTTGGTGTAATGTTGAATCCACGTTCAACATGTCGTTAATAGTCTGTCCATTCGAAGTTTTGTTGGCGGCATTCAATTCTACTCTGAGTTTGGTAGTTGTTTTTCCTAAGTTAATCACAGGGTGATGCGGTAAATAACACCAATAGAACTGTTTTTAAGTGTTTGCGGACACTGGCCTCATTTGATAAAGTTCTAAGTATACTGATAATACTATATTGTAAACTAATTTTACGTTTCTTCATCAATGAATTTTTCTTGCGATGAAATCGTTTACCGAAGTACCTATAGCGCCAGCCCCAGGTTTTATTGGAACGTAACGATAATTCTCACAAAACGGTCAGATTAGGATAAAATCTTTCTTTTTGAAGTTTCTCCAAGTTCCCAGAATCTCAACATGCTGTGAAAAATTAGCCAAACCCCAAATTGTACTTCGCAGAATATACGAAGGAGCCGCAAATCAACGCAGAAAATATTAAAAGTGATCAAAAATTTCCTAAAATATACAAAACTTTTTTAATAATTGTGAAAAATCAATCATATTCCAAAATTATAATCTCCGATGAGATATAAAGCAACCGATACCACTTGAAAAAATTTTCTA